GAAGTTAAATCGAATTGGACAAGACAGACAGAGACAGAGACAGAGAGAGAGACAGCGAGGTGTACTCTGCAGTTGGTGGGTCCTTGGGCCAACTTAATTAAATTAGCCCATCAATAAAGGACATAATACTCGTCAAAAGCCAACAAACTGACCAATTTCCATGCCACAACAGCCATCCATCCAGCCATATCGGAGCAAAGGAATCGGAATCTATGGGACAAATGTCACTTCTTGCCCACCCCCAGGCGGGCGGCTGAGGTTGTACAAATAAACCGATTCGCTGTAGCGGTAATTAAAAGCCAACCAAATGACCAAATAAGCCACACACACACACACCCACACACACAGACACAAAGTAGAAGGAAAAAAAGGTGATTCGAATTGGTGTGCTGATTGAAATCTTAGAGAAAAACTTATACGGCGGCGATGCGATGCAGTTGCTACCCTGTAAAAGGCAAGACTGGGCATGGGAAAAGTGAACTGAAGGCACACAGCATACCCTTGCGTTACGTGCTCCAGGGCAGAATGCAGAATGCAGAACAAGTAGATGTAGATAAGGCAGCAAGCAAAGTACACACACACACAGCCATAAGCAGGAGTAAGCGGTAAATCAACAAGAGAACACACACACACACACACATGTGCAGCGTAGGTAAATATGTTTGTGTATTGGTTGTGCCCACAAATCAATTAAGACGATTGAGAGGCAACACGCCCACAACAGCACAACGAATGGCAGAGCGAAGGAGACGAGCGCCCAGACGAGAGAGCGGGCATCAAAAGAACCGCGCGCCAAATCTAGGCAACATGTTCCCCGACACATGTTCCTAGCACAAAAGCAGGCAAAGCCTTAGCCGTCGCCTTGCCCTCGAGTGTGGGCAACACTTTTTGACTTTTGGCTGTGGCTGCTCGCTGGTGAGCTTAAATATTTGTTAATTTGCTAAAAATGCCACACTCACAGACAAAACCGAAAGCGTATCGAGATCCCAAACACAACCAAACACAAACCAATTAAACGGACCGACAACAACAGCGAACGCTGCCAGCCGACCAGCCAGCACAAAACGAAGCCGAACGTCGTCGCATGGCAAAAGCACAGCCGAAGCCGAAGCCGAAGCCGAAGTCGAAGCACCCGAGTGCAGCAGCTGAGCTGCCGCCAGGCTATAAATAGCCGAGATGTGCCGCGAAGCGACATCAGTCCTGACCGCGTTGCACACTTGACGCGTCGTCGCCGGCGTGGTTGTCGTTGTCTTTTATCGCATCATTTGATGCTTTTGCTGGCTGCGGCTGCTTGTTGCTTCTTGCCGCTGAGTCTTCTTGCTTGTCCTTTGACTTGAAGGCTATTTGGGATCTATTTTTGTTGAGTGCACACACACACAAAACACATTTGTCGCAGCATGTTTACGAATTGGTTAACGGGCAGCACTGGCCAAGCGCCGCGGGGCATTGGCATCACAGCGCCACCACAGTTGGCCGCTCCACTCTCCGGCGGTGGCGGCATTATGAGCACACCGCCGGATGTCATCCTGGAAGTGGGTCCCGCACCGAGCAACGTGCGCTTTGTGGCCCACGCTCTGGTGCTGGGCATGCACAGCGGATACCTTCGCTCGGCCATCCGCATGGATGAGAGTGCCGCATCGGGAGTGGCCTCCAACAGTAGCAGCGTGGGGTCCACCAACGCACAGGGCGCCACGGGCGAGCTGCTGCTCTACTTGGGCAATGTGACGGCGGAGCAGTTTGCTCCGCTGCTCACGTACATGTACACGGGATATCTGGACTTGAATGTGGACAACATCTTCGCCGTGCTGCTGGCCACCCACGTGCTGCACATGCCACGTGCCCTGGAGATCTGTCGGTGGGTTGCCTGCACTTCGCCCAGCCCCTGCTTCAGGTTCAGCCCCTCAATTTGTGTCTCTCTTTTGTCTCTTTTGTAGCTCCTTTTTGGCCCGCGCCCAGACCGAGGGCTATCTGAATGGCAGTGGCAATCCACCGCCGCAACTGTGTCCGACGGCGCCTGCCAGCGCCAAGATCATTCGGCCCATACCCAGCAAGGCGACGCTCCCAAATTTTGGCTTTCTGCCCGTGCCCGTGCCCGTGCCCGTTCCCCTGCCACTGGCGCCGCCTCCACCTCCCCCAGCAGCGGCGGCGGCGGCGGTGCCTACGCCTGGCTATGCGGGCGCCGCTTCCTTGCTGCACGTGGAGCCAGAGTATGCCGGACTGAATGTGTCTGTGGATGAGGATGAGGATGAGGAGGAGGATGTGGAGGTGTTCATCGACAGCAACACAGTCACCGACAACGAGAACGAGGACATGGAGACGGAGGACTGCAATGTCTCTGTCGTCAGCTCAATGGCCAGCAGCAGTGCGGGCAGCCTCAACATCGAGCGGCTGGATGCAAAGCCAACCACACCCGCTCCCACACCCACACCCACACCCACACCCACACCCATACCCACACCCAAGCCGCAGGCAGCTCCAAGCAGAACCAAGAAAGAGCCAACAGCAGCAGCCACTGCCCTGCCCAGAGGTTCCCGCAGCGGCAGGACTGGCAGGAGGAACACAGCAAGCAGCGGACTCCAGGTGGCCAAGGCCCCGGTTCCGGCTGCCCAGCTGGAGACAGCCACGGCGGCGATGCCCTCAAAGTTCATCATTGACGTGGCCAGCTGCGATGGACCCGTGCGCTTTCGCCGCATCCTGAACACCGCCTACGGCCACAAGCCGGAGGGCCTGGACGCCAGCACGGAGCAGTGCGAGCAGCAGCGGACGCAGCAGAGCGTCAGCTACTCGTTTCACCAGCAAATGGCCAGAGCCATTAGCAGCCAGCAGCGGCAGCAGCAGCAGCAGCAGCAGCAGGAGGAGAGCGAGAACAGTGGCGATGCCACAGGAGGTGCCGCACCAGCGAACAATCGAAAGCAGGCGAATGCAGGAGCTGCTTCGACTGCCAGCAGCAGCAGCAGCAGCAGCATCGGAGCAGCAGCAGGACCTCAAGCCCACAGCCAGGAGCTGTATGTGTGCGTTTACTGCAAGCACACGTTCAAGTCGCAATATTGCTACCAGAAGCATGCCAAGCGGCACCTCAATCCGCTGAGTCTGGCCAGTGCCGAGAAGAAGCTGGTGGCCACCAGCGCTGATCATGGATTGCTGGCCATGGAGTCCAGCAGCTCTGGGCAGGACAGCAGTCAGCCGCAGGAAGCCACAGCAGCAGCGGCATCCACAGCTGCCACAACGAGCGCTTTGATGCGTCGCGAGGTGCGACCCTTGGACATGAATGTCCAGTATTATCCCTGCAAGACGTGCGGCAGCAAGTTCCCCAGCTACTATTTTGTGCACAAGCATCGCAAGATGTGCCATGCCGATGAGATTGAAGCGGCGGCAGCCACGAGCACGAGCACAGCACCAGGAGCAGGCGCTGTCACTGGCAATACCGCTAAGAGAGAGACAACGCTGGAACCATCAGAGGATCAACAGCTACAGCAGCAGCAGCAGCCGTAAGGCTTCTTGTGGCAGCAATCAAAGGCAACGAAATCTACGAATTTACGATCAAAAACAACACTCAAAGCACACACAAACAAACGAGACTGTACACACACACACACACACACACACACACATGGCTGAATGTTTTTTTTGTCGCTCTAGAATTTCAATTCAATAAAAGCAAAATACTATTAATAATCATCCCAAAACAGAGGAAAAGCGAAACAAACAAATGGCCAGAGAGGAGATCGATCATCAAATGCTGCAATCGATAGACCAAAGAGCTAAAAGCTGTTCGAGTGCAAAATGTATCGAAAATGTTTACATCGATAATAACAGAAAAATCGACCTGCAGAGCCCATGTCGATTATAAATCGTTATCGATCCCTGAACATTTTACTGTCTAATCGCGGAATGGGATCGCACTTCAAAGCCATGACAAATGCCGCAGAATCGATTGATCAGCGAAAAGTTCTTCAATGTTCAACGAGTTATGGATTATATCTGACAGGGATAATCCCTATTGAGGCAGAGGCAGGCTCTTTCATGCTGAATGGCAGCGCTGGCAGGGGCTTGGACTCGTGGGTGGGTGGGTTGCCAGTTGGGTTGAGCAAACAATCCTTGCCGCAATTTAATAATTAAATTAAATCACTTGCATAATAAAAAATACGTTTATGGCGGCAATGGGGGCTGGGGCCACAACAAAAAAATGTAATTTAATTGAGTTTAATTAACTCGCCAGGGAGATGTCGACAGCCAACAAGGCCGCAAAGATGATGATGAAGATGGTGAAGGCAGCACACGGTGGGTGCTTTGGGTGGGTGCTTTGGGTGGTTTGGGTTGGGTGCAAACAAAACCGCAAGCGACCAAAAACGTGAGAGACAACCATCATCTCCATCTGCACTTCCTCCCCCAGTGTTAACTCGTTGGACCTGCCGCTGGACCTGCAACTTGAGGCAATTCCGAGCCAAGGCTCTCATTTTTTTTTGATAAAATATTTATCGACAACGCAAACAGAAATGGAGACAGGACTCTGTGACTGAGACTGTGACTGTGACTGAGACTGAGCGAAGCGACAAATTTGATTGAAGAGAGCCGAAGGGCAGGGGCGAGTGGCTTTTGATTAAACAGAACAAAAAGGGAGACAACGCAATGCAGTTGCCAATGAGGGGAGAATGCATTTTTGATGCAACGAACGAAGGAGCCAGGACGCTCGCTTCGAAATGGCAATGGCAGAGGCATAAAAGCTGCACGCAGCTTTAAGCGTGCATTCAAAGAGCTTTCTGGAGGACTTCAGGCTTTGGGCAAGCTCAAGCAAGCTGTACACAGGACCAGACTGTACGAAAGCTCTCCCGTTGAAAGCTCACCGACTGTCATCGCTATAAGCAGTCTAAAAGCTTGCTTTTGAAAGCTCCAACGCTGTACACTGACAGAAATCTGGCAGATTGAAGGCAACAGAATAGCTACGAAGCTCTGCCACACTTTGGGAGAACTCAGACAGGAGAAATCGCTTTGGCACTTACCTTTGCCATCGAGTGCTAGGCCCTCCATGTTATTGGCTGCATTCCCGCTGCCATCGGCCAACGATCCTGCTGCGGTGGCTGTGGATGTGGTCGATGTGGTGAGCGCACCGCTCGCCGCCGAAGTGGACATTATGGAGGAGACGTCGGAGATGTGCGGAGATGAATTAACCATGGAACCAGCAGCTGTGGGCATCGATCCAGCCGACGAGGATGCAGCTGCCGATGAGGATGAGGATGAGGATGGCAGCTTGCTGATGTCCTTGGCATTGGCATTGGCATTGGCATTGGCATTCGCCTTAATGTTGTTGCTGTTGCCATGCGGATGATGCACCTCGTTGGCAGTCAGCTCGCTGTAACGCTTTCGCTTGGAATCACTGAAATCACAGGGGGAAGGAAGGATTCAGTTACAGTCGCAGGACAACGCTCCGCTCTCTCGACTCACCTGACATCGGTGAGCAGCTCGTTGCCGGCGCCCAGGCCCTCCACCTGGGCGGCCTTCAGCTTCTGGCCAAGATAATTGCCCGCCGTGGTGGCCGTCGTCAATGTGGGCACACCCACACCCACACCCACACCCACAGCCGCCTGCTGCTCCGCTGAGGCTGTCGAGCTGGGCGGCAGGGCAAACGCAACGCTGCCGGCGGCCGCTGTCGCTGCGGGCGCCTGCTTGACGCCGATTTTATCGCCGCTCGTTGCATTAGTCGCCGCACCGCCAGGAGCCCCAGCTGCGGCTACAGTTGCAGCTGCAGCTGCCGCATCTTCGCTGCTGCTGCCGACCACAGCGGACGAGGAGGAGGAGGAGGAGGCGGAGGAAGTCTTCACGTTGGCCATCACTACGCTCTGGTAGCCGGGCTTAAAGCCATTTAATGTCACGCCCGCTGTGGGTGCAGCTGCAGCTGCAGCGGTGGCTGCTGCTCCTGCTCCTGCTCCTGGTCCTGCTGTGGCCGCTGCTCCAGCATTGTTGGCGCGTTCTCCGCTTGCTGCAGAAGATGACAAATGATTAAGAATCGTTGGCAATCGCTCCAGGGAGTGTCTGCTATACGCACCATTGTAGGCCTCTGCCTTGGCCGCCTTCTGGCCTGCCTTTGTCTGCGCATCGGAGACGGCTTCCGCCTTCGCCTTGGACGAGGCGGCGGCCACCGTTGTCGCCGCTGCAGCCTCTGCCTTGGTCTTGGTTGTGCTTGTGCTTGTGGTCGCTGTCGCTGCTGCTGCTGCTGCTGCTTCCACGGCTCCAGCTGCCCCAGAAGTGGCTCCCTTTGCGGGCTTTGCTGCTGTCGCTGCTGCTGCTGCTGCTGCTGCTGCTGATGATGCGGAGGAGGAGGAGTTGGAGGAGTTTGTGGCTGAAGATGTGGATGTGGATGTGGCAGCTGCAGTTGCTGTTGCCGCTGCTGTTGCTGCTGCTGCTGCTGGTGCACCTTCGGTGGCTGCTTTGGCTTTGGCCTCACTGCTGCTGGTGGAACTGCTGCCGCTGCTGCTGCTGCTGCCCGTTGAGATCTCTGATGCGGCGGTGGCTCCTGCTGCTGCTGCTGCTGCTGCTGTTGCTTTCTTCTCGCTGCTCCCGCTGGCGGCCTGCACGGCCAGCTCTGCCTTTTCGGCTGCCGCCAATGCGGCTGCTGCTGCCGCCGATGTTGAGGGCATCGCCGTAGTGGCAGCTGCGGCAGCGGCAGCCGCCGCCTTGGCCACCTTCTCGCTGACGACAATCGCCTCGACAGCCTTCTCGGCGGCACTTTCGGCCGCCTTGGCCGCATCGGCGGCAGCCTTCTCCGCGACACGCTCCCGCTCGGCGGCCCGTTCGGCCCGCTCGCGCTCCGCAATGGCCGAGGAGCGGCCACCGGACTTCTGCTGCTGCTCGCGCTGCAGCCGCGTGGTGACGCCCGTCGTCAGCGAGTCGATGATGCACTGCGGCTGGGCGGCCTGGGCCTTGGCCGGGTTGCGGGAGCTGCGCGTGCGCTGGCGGGACTTGCGCAGGAGCTGCTTGTAGTTCTCCTGCTTCTTGCTGAGGTAGTAGTAGCGGACGCAGTCCTGCGGGGACTTGCGGTCGAGGCTGGCGGCTATCACGCCGAAGTTCTTCGGGTGCTGCAGATACTTCTCCTTGAAGGTCTCCTTCTCGCCGGCCGTCCACAGATTGACGGCGTTGTGCTGCTTGTACACGGTGGACATGTCCTCGATGAGGCCATTCTCGTTGTGGTACGCGCAGTGGCGCTGGCGGGCGTCGTGCATGAGCGGCGGTATGACCGCGTACGAGCGCATCTTCTTGTCCTCGAGCGCCTGCTCCTGCAGCCCGTCCATGATCTCCTCGAGATCCGCCTCCGACTTGATGCGCGACCCCACGCGATTGAAGCGCTCCTTGTCCTCCCGCTGCTTGCGCAGCTCCGTGAACACCTTCTCGAAGAACTCGCGATTCTTGGCCTCGCGCGCCTTGCGCTTGGCGCTCGTCTCCGCCCGCTCGCAGCGCCGCTGCCAGTCCGCCTGATCCTTGGCATACTTATCGACCAGCGTCTGCTGGTGCTGGCACCGCTCCGCCTTGATCTTTCGTATGTGCTGCAGCAGCGGCGTCTTCACGTGGCTGTGATGATGCTTTATCAGCAATGCCAGCGACTCCACATCCAGCGGTTGGTTGTACAGCGGCATAAAGGGCTCCTGCTCCTGCTCCTGCTCCTGCTCCTGTTTCTCCTGCTGCTGTTGCTCCCCGCTGCTCTCTGCCCCATCGAGTGCGTAGCCAGCGGCACGATGCAGCAGGGAATGTCGATCCAGGGCCGTCGCTCGGTTCGCCGCGTAAATCTTTTCGGCCAGCATTTGGCTGCGCATCGACAGATCCACCACCTCCAGCTCCACGCTCTTGTTGTTGTCCTTGTTGCTGCTGCTGTTGTTGTTGTTGTTGGCTGCTGTTGTTGTGCTGGCCACAACGTTTTTCTTCTGCTTGGCCTGCGCCGCCCACTCCATGAGCGTCTTCTCCTTCTTCCGCAACGCCTCCATGCCCGTCTCCGCGGATTTGATCTCATTGTCCACCTTTTGGATCTGCATCAGCAAATCCTCCTTGGCGGTGGTCCGGCCACGCTCGTCGATCGCATTGTCGCTGGGCAGCGTCGGCGAGATGGCCTCCACCTGCAGGAAGAGAGAAGAGAAAGGGGATTCGGTTAGTTCTTGGACTGCTTAGAGCGGAGCGAAATCACTGTCTTGTCTACCTGCGGATGGTAGGCCTCAGTACTGCTGCCAGCTGCTGCCGCTGCCGCTGCTGCTGCCGCTGCTGCGGATGTGGACGGTCCAGCGCTGCTGCTGCTGCTGCTGCTATTGCTGCTCGGCACTGCTGTGGACACCGTCACCGTGCTCATGCCCATGGCCATGCCCATGCCCATGCCCGTGGCCATTGTTGTGGTGCTGGACGAGGGCGGCATACGTGACGTGTTCGACGCCGCTGAGGACATTTGCGGCGGCATCGTCTCCACCTTCAGTTGCATTCCCATTGGGGGACCAGCACCTGCTGCTGCTGCTGCTGCTGCTGCCGCTGCCGCTGCCATGTGGCGGTGCAGCTCGTGATTGCTCTGCCGCTGGCTGCTGTTCATCTGCGCCTGCATCTGCGCTGGCGAGGATCGCTGTTGCTGATGTTGCTGCTGCTGGTGGTGATGTTGCTGCTGCTGTTGATGATGATGTTGCTGCTGCTGGTGATGTTGCTGGTGATGTTGCTGCTGCTGCTGCTGTTGATGTTGCTGCTGCTGCTGCTGGTGGGGTGATGGCAGATGATTCAGGCCACTGGGATTGCCATCGCTCAGCCGCTGTTTCTTATACGGTTGCTGGCTGCCACCGCCTGACCCAAAGGGTTCCGCCTGCTGCTGGTGTTGCTGCTGCTGCTGCTGCTGCTGCTGTTGCTGTTGACGCTGGTTGACCTGCACCGCTGCCACGGCTGCTGCTGTGGCATTGGTTAGGTATTCGCTGGTGTACTGCAGCGCCTGTGAGCGGGGCATGAGGATGTGCCCTAGATTGCCCACCATTATGCTGCCTCCGCCGCTGCCAGCGCCCGCTCCGGGGCCACCGCTGCCTCCTCCCTGCTGCTGCTGCTGTTGCTGCTGCTGCTGCTGTTGGCTGGAAACGGAGGATCCTGGCTGATTGGGATAGTGGGACATGGCCTCCATGACCAGCACCCCGCCGGACGGCACCTGAACCACTCCGCCGCTGCCACCGCCACCGCCGCCGCCCGTGTTGGAGCCGCTGCTCGAGCCCTGTCCCTGTCCCGGACCCTGGCCCTGGCCCTGGCCCGGCTTACAGCCAGCGCCGGCAGCCACTGCCGCCACCGCCGCCCGAGCTGCCCGCTGGTACTCCGGCATGGCCGCCTGCTGATGCTGCTGCATCTGGGTGAGGCGTGTGTAGGGATTCTCGCGGTAGGTGGGCGCCGGTGCGATGCTAAACGCCGGCTGCGTAATGAACCTATGCTGGGGCGGGGGCGGCGCCTCGCCAAACTTTGTGTAATTATTGACGGCCGCCGCTGCAGCGGCCGCTGCTGCCGCACTGCTGCTGCCGCCGGGTGGACCCGAACGTGGAGGCGACAACGGACTGGCCGCGGTACGTGACGACTGCTGCTGCTGCTGCTGGTGGTGATGCTGCTGCTGCTGCTGCTGCTGGTGGTGGTGCATCTGCTGCTGCTGCTGGGATGTGGGTGGTGGCTGCTGTTGCTGCTGCTGCTGCTGCTGTGGGGCATGGTGTGACTGCTGCAGGTGTCCCAGACTCTTGGCATACTGCTGCGACTGCTCCAAGGCCCTGTACGACCAGTGGGGGCGGAAGGAGAGAAGAGGAAAACAACAGATTATTAAATTTATGCTTAAGAGAGCTTAATACCCCCCCCCCCTCGCACCAAGCGCAATCTAACCTAAACTAAGGCTTGACCTCATTTCTTTTGGCGGCAATCTAAGATAATCGCATGATCGTATGTGTATGTGTGTGTGTGTGTGCCCCTACTCAGTTCTAACGGTTCAATTGAGTGACGCGTCGGATTAGCCGCGCGCGTTAATGGAACGTCACTTATTGAGGACACAAACCCCGGCCGGCATCACACATGCTGCAGGTGTGTTGAAGCGAGAGACGTGTCCATTGCTGGCCTTGTCATTTTCGTGCTGCGAACTTGTTTGCTTCGAGCCGTTCCAACATACTGCTGCGCACACATGCTCGCAGTCGAGCATGTTTTATCGAGGTTCGAACGCTGCGCGCGTCAGCAGAGACGCAGCAAACAGCAGCTCGATTCTCAGGCAATTTTCGTCATTATTTAAATTTGTTCTTGCATTGTTGCTGTTTGTTTTGTTTTAAAGCTAGACCCTGGGTGGGGGAAACCCGTTGCAACGACGCGTTTGAAGCAAGAGCGTGATTAACGTGCGACGGGTTTGACCCGCACCGCGTACACCGTCGTCGTCGTCGTCGTCGTCGCCGCAGCGTCTCGACCTCATGTATCGGCCAGCAGCACCAGCAGGCGTCGACGTCGGCGTTGGCAGCGTGCGACGTCATGCACGCATTATACACGCACGCACACAGACAGCCGTCAGCCGTTCTCCCTCTCACTTATTAATTCATCAAATATTAAAGACACCCGCTGTGTATTGCGTCGGTGGGGGAGGGGGTGTGCGTGTGGGGTTGTGGTGTGGTGTGGGAGGATTACTTCAGTCTTAAGCAACGTTGCCAAACTTCTCCGCTTAGAAACGATAATTGGCATATTTTTGTCTTGCTCCCTCATTCGTTTGGTCAGTATGTGTTCATTAACCCTTGAATGGCTGCGTGTCCTTGGTATGGCCGAGAGATGTTGCCAAACTTCACTCGAACACTAATGAGTGTGATTTAACCCTCGCATGCCTCTGCAATTAGCTTAACATTCAAAATGTAACTTTTCAACTTTCATTCATGAAACCAAGAAAAATCCGCTTTGCCACGTTGCCAAACTTCACTCGCACCCATTTCGCAGAGGACAAAAACGTAGCCAAGAAGAAGGAAACTTTATTCTCAATCTTAGATATCAATCGAAAAATTAATGCCAAAAGCTGCTGTCCGACTGCCGTCTCAGGGGTAAAGCACGAAAAAAGTACAGAGACAAATGCAGAAAATAGAAATGAGCGAATCTCATCAATCATGAATGACCAAGCAACTTCACAGCCAGCCCAGGCCCAGGGCCAAGCGTTAGCCGGCGAAAAAATCAAATGCGATTTATGCGATTTTGAGTCATGAAAGGAATAATGGGAGTTGGCCAAAATATATTCATCCAAAGGAATTTGCTTTTGCTTTTGCTTTTGCTTTTGTTTCCCCTCTCGACTGGCTTCGTCCACTGCTTGCTCCAACGCTGCTTTTGGCTATTCTTCAACTGCTTAAAGCTCTTCCTCTCTCCTCTCTTTCTCTCCTCATCTATCACTAGCACCTTTCCCCAGGTGCCCTTTGAACTTCTCTTTCTTTTTGCTGCTCCTTCTTGTTCCAGATGTTTTACCTAGAAAGAGAAATCGAAAAGAACAGAGAGACAAAAATCAGCACAAATTTATGCAAAAAAGAATAGAGAAAAAGTTGTTTAATTTCATAATAAGCAGAAAAAGGAGTGCGAATAGAAGGAGGAATACCCAACAAAATTCTGCAACGATTTCCCATTTCTTTGCTCAATTATTCCATCTACGCTTTGGCTTTGGCTTCTCTCCTCCCCTCTTTAGTTATTTTTGCTGCATATTTATTTGAAATTTGTCTGCACACAAGAACTTTAAGCTCGCAATTAATTACAACTTGAAGATGCAACTCTTTGCTGCAACTCTAACTGTGTGTGTTGCTTGAACAAGTTGGAAGCATTTGGCAGCAGAAGAGAGAGCGAGAGAGAGAGAGACTTAAAGGTTACCCAAAGAGAAGCACGGAGAAGCGAAGAGGAGCCAACAAAAAGAATCATTCGAGCAGGCAATGGGGCTCCCTACCGTTATGTGCACACACACACACACACAAATGTGTAGATATTTATGTATGCGAGTATTTGGCAGCACATGTGCTTGTTCAACATCATCCTATTCCCCCCCCCATTCACTCACGCTCTCTCTCTCTCTCTCTAACGCAGCCACGCCTTGTGTTCGTTCGTTCGTTCGTTCGTTCGTTCGTTCGTGTGGCATACATAAAAAGATAGAGGAAATAAGAGAAAAACCCAAGGGAAAAGCACAAGCGGCCGCAGCATCAGGCCAGCAGGAAACCCACAACAAAGCAAGAAAATAATAAAATCAAATGAAATGAACAGAAAGCAGAAAGCAGAAAGCGCATAAGAAGGACTAGCAGACGGAGCATTCAAACATAAAACAAAAGGAAGATAGCACATAGAAGAAATAGCAGACAGCAAATAGAGTACAACAAGCAGCGGGAGCAGAGGACGCAGTAAGCAGAGGGCGAAGCAGAGCTATCCTCCCACCACAGCACTGCACCACAGTCCCTATCTCTCTCTCTCTCTCTCTCTCTACCTCTCGCTCTGCCTTCAGTGCTCTCCCTGCTGCTGCCCATTTTCTCTCTCGCTCTCTCACTAACTTCCACCTTCTTCTTGTTCTCGTAAAATGCAGCAATGCAGAAAGCACAACTTTGTTGTGTTTTCTTTTTTTATTATCGATTTGTGTGCTTGCAGGGCGCTGCCTTGAGGGCCTTGACAGGGCGGGGAGGTGGAGTAGCGGGAGGATGAGGCAACAGTCTTGTTGTAGTCCAAAACGGGATGGCCCGGGGGGGGGTGACCGAGACAGCCGCATTAAGTATGCCGTCGTCGTCGTTGATTATAATGTTCTCTGTTCCCTATTTCCCATTTCCTTCCTCAATCGCTGCTACACACACACAAATTCCTTCACTTCTTTTACACATTTTTGTTCTCTTTGCTCTTCATCTTTCACTCTACGCTCCATTTTGCTGCAAAGCAGCTTTTAGGCGCACAAAACTTTTTACCAGGACAACGGCTGACGAGGACATTGAAAGAGACAGGGACAAAAAGCGTTGGAGAGCGCAAAAGAGAGAGAGGGAGGCAAGTTTCAAAACAAACTTTTGCCATTTCTCCAGTTCACTCTCGCTCTCCCTCTCCCCTTCCATCTAATTCGCTTGCCGTCTGGATGTGTCTGTGTGCCATTAAATTTGCAATGCCCCCCCCCCCCCCCCACGGACGTAGCTGGAAATTTAATTTGTGCTTCCTGTGGGAACAGGACACAAAGATAGACACCAACAGAGACAGAGGTTGGGTTGGGTTGGTGATGCATGTGGGATGCGGGCAGGGGGGGGGGGGGGGCTGGGGGGAGGGCTGTTCTCGGATCAGCTGTTTTCGCGACGCGTAAAACTTTTTGCACAGGCAAACTCTTGAGAGTTTTCCATTTCAGGCCACTCGAAAATGTTTTACTTGAAAACTTTAACACGGGTTGGGGGGAGGGGGATGGATGGGTTTTCATTTCGAATAAATCAAGGTTAGAATTGTAAATTTGTTAAATAATTCACACACAGAGAGAGAGAGGTAGAGAGGGAGAGTACCCCCAACGGGGTTCCCTTGAGCACAGTTAAAGCGTTCATCAAATCGCACTTGAAGCTGCCTTTTTGGTGTACTTTAACAGTGGGAAAAAGTGAGCAAAGAACCAGCCATCCATGGAGCCATCCAGGAATACTCAGAAAAGGCAAACTTCCGTCTGGAAATATTTAATTAGCGCAAAAATAAATAAATAACCAGTTAAAAATCGTGACAAAAACAGCGAAAAAACAAAAACCTTGTGACATAATTATCGAGAGAGAGAGAGAGGGAGAGAGAGAGATTTATGGAACATGCAAAAATGAAGAGCAAAATGAATGAAAATTCACAAGTGGCGAGGGACCTTGATTTCCCCCCCCCCCCCCCCCCCCTTGCAAGGCCAGGCCGCTGGTTGGCCGTGTGGACGGACATTCATTTTTGGAGGCCAAAAGCAAATCCAATCAAAAATGAGTTGCAAATCAATGGAATGCTCATGCCAGCTCCTCCAACTCCACTGCCACTCGAATATTAATGAGCTCAAAATTGCATTTACATTTGCATTTCCCCATTTCCCTACACTCCAACGACTATTTTTAAGAGCAAAGCCGACGCCATTCGAGTGTTTTGTGTTTTGTGTGTTCAGTGTCCAGCACAGCGCAGTCCAAGCCTCTGCCTTGCTGAATTATACTAAATTATAGCAACAACAACAACAACAAGCGTGTGGTGTATGTTGTGATATCCCTCTATATCTGCTATGGCCTCTATTCCAACACTTCCCAGTGTCCGAGTCGAGTAAATGTACCTACCAGCCCCAGCCCCTTCCTCTCTCTCCCGCTCTGAGTGCAGTTTAAGTGCCGCCTATAAATAAAATACTCATTGCAGGGGAACAAAAACAACAACAGAAAATGATTCATCGACAACAAAGTGGCGGCAGCAGCAGCAGCAGCAGACTTCGACTTCGACTTCGACTATGACTCTGACTATTATTACAATGACGAGGAGGGGCGTATGCACACAGCAGACAGTGGCGGGCAAATAAATAGCCACACGGAGCACTACTCCGAATTAGCATAGTTCGCCAGCAAAGTTGCCATAAGTGAAAGGATAAACATGGAAGGGAAGAGTACGCTAAGAATTGAGTTCTTTTAGTTCTTCGACTATTATTTTGAGCGCAATTGTTTTGCGGGCAATTTGCATACAAAAATAGCAAGTGTTTCCGTCTCTAATTACTTTTCGAAAAGCGATTTAGAACTCTGCGCCCCAGTCAGGCAGTGGTGAATAATGCAAATGGTATTTACGGCCAGCT